CACCCAAGCTGAGGGTCTCCTGTGAGACTGTGGGCTTATTTCTTCTCCCCTGTTTTCAGATGGCTGAGACCAACCTGTTCTTTGTGCTGTTCTCAGGGTGAAGACGTCCTAGTAAGAAGCTCAGAACTCATCTATTCCGGGGAATTAACCAAAATCTCCCACCCTCAAGCCAAGAGCCAACAGCGGATGTTCTTCCTCTTCGATCACCAGCTTGTCTGCTGCAAGAAGGTAACCTCACTAGCCAGGCACAAATGCTACCTATTACAATGCTAAAGAATTTGGGTAAATGCCCTCTCTACGCCTTTGTTTCCTTAATACTTCCTGGCATCACGTGTGCTTCTGGCACAGAGATCTTTACACGCATTTGTTGCAGTCTTTTCTTTGACATCCTGGTGTGTTCTGTGCCCCTGACTGCAGCAATAAGCTACAGGAACTAAGTACTGGCCTAATTCTTACAGCAAGAGAGGAAGGCATTGCACTGCTAACCCTATGGTTAATGCATGCGTTTATTTTACACAACAGAAGTAGGAGCATTGTCACACATTTTCTTGTATGTATGTTTTTTTTTTTCCAACTGCACTGCCATGTGAGATAAATACCATATTCAGAAGGTAACTGCAGCTTTGATGAAAAGCTGTGGGCCTTGACAGTCAATAAGACCATATTAACCTTGCAGGTAAGTCTGTATGTACAGGCCATGCTGTTTTTCAGAACCTAAGTAATAAAAGAAATCTTCCTTCATAAAACAAATTAAAGATAGCTTCCATTGGAATGTCAGAACTGAACATGCCAGGGTTTTTTTGCATAATACCTGGCATACAGGTAGCTCCAGGTAACCCTCACTGTTTTACCACTGCTCTCAGATTTATTTTTCATTGTCAATACAAAACCCCAAAGCTAATTAGGATTTTCTTGGCTTTCTAACTGGGCCTGTAGGATTCAAATACTATCTTCTGACATGGGCTTAATGAGGATTTAGGATCATGTGTAATAACAAACACAAGCATGCTTCTCATTCAGAGCTCTTCAGGGCAGCTGACATCCCACAATGGTAGGTACCAGTCTATCCTGACCCCACCAGTAGAAGAAACCACACAATTCCCCTCATTGCCAACAGTGTCAACAGGAACTTAGCACTCTGCAATTCCATAGATTCAAATCCAGTTTCTATTTTTTCTTCTAGGACTGTAGTGACTGCCAAGAAGATTAAATACTTAATCATATCAAAGAAAATTAATGTTTAAGGAAAGAACAGGACAGGAAAGAGTAACATCTGTATGAGTTTCTGTGATCTCTCTTACAGGACCTTCTGCGCCGGGACATCTTGTATTATAAAAGTCGGATCAGCATGGATGATATGGAAATCCTGGATGTAGAAGATGGGAAAGACAAGGACTTCAATATCAGTGTGAAAAATGCATTTAAGTTGCACTGCCGAGACACTGAGGAAGTGCACTTATTCTGTGCAAAAAAGCCTGAGCAGAAACAGCGCTGGCTGAAGGCATTTGAGAATGAAAGGAGACAGGTTCAGCTCGATCAGGAGACAGGTATGGAAACAGCAATGCTGTGAAACAGAGGTGGTTTGTGGTTTTTTTTTTTCTTTTTTTTTTTCTTTTCTTTTTTTAAGCACTAGCCAATGCATAGGAGTGAAAGGGCAGGGAAGCCAGTCCATGCTCCAGACCAGCTCTGGGCTGCTGAATTGCACATTCTGAATGAATCTGTGCAATTAAAAAAAACCCTGCAGTATGTCCTCAGGGAGGCTGATGTGTCTTTAATGAGTTCAGACAGGGCTGACAAAATAGTCAATACATTGCATACAGCTTCCATTATTTTGCAGTACAGTGTGAGTGCCCAACTTGGCAAGATCTATACAAAACATGTTCAGTCAAGGGTTGTCATTGTAAGAGGGTTTTCATTGTTTTGTCCAAATCCTGCTTAATTCAGACTTGTGTGACCTAATGAGATTTGAACTGTAACTGGCATGGACTGGCTTCTTCACCCAGCATAGCATGGGGGGGTGAGCAGGCAGTAAACCTTGCATGAGAGGTAGCGAGAATTGTGCAGCGCAGCACAGGCTGGAGGGAGCGGTATGTGCCCCTTCCAGCTTTGGGAGTACTTCTAGCTTGTGACCTCTCACCCGGGGCATTTTCCTACTCCTGTATTTCCCTTACTATCTATTCCAGTGTCTTCCCATGAGGTATAAAGTGATGACTTCCTGCTGACAAACTCTATTTTATCTTCAAGGTTTTTCAATCACAGAAGTGCAGAAAAAGCAGGCCATGCTGAACGCCAGCAAGCAGCACCATAGTGGGAAGCCTAAGGGTGAGTCACACCTGAACATATAAATGTGCTAGAACTGGGGGTAGGGGGTGGTTCTATATTTACTATATAGAAATAGCTTCACTGAAGTGGCATTACCAAACTTTCGAGAAGGCTGGATGGTGAGCTTAGATGTGACAATCTGCAGTATAGCTCCTGGTAGATTGAGACAGCTGGACTCAGGAAACTATTCCTAGGAGAGCAATTGCTGAGTTCTGTGCCAGAAACCACAGTTACGTACAAGCTGGCAGCTTCTGTTCAAAGGCTAGTTGCCAGCCTTGCCCTAGACGCCAGGCTCCCCAAGCAGTATGGCATTCCCGCTGTGAGAAGACAAGATTAAGTTTTGTACTAATCCCCATGATGCAAAAGGGTCATAAAGGTCACAGCAGCAGGGACTGTTCCTGCCCGGGCAGTTGTGCCTGTGGAAGATGCATTGAAACCTGTGATTTTGGCAGAATGCCATGGGTAGGTACCACGCTCATTGACAGAGCTGCTCGTTAAACCTTTAAGAGACAAGGAAGATTTAGCACCAAGCAACAGAAAGTTCATGTGCCCACAGCACTGTCAGCCGAAGGTTCCTGCTACCCCATTTTGTGATGCCACCACCCCTCTATATCCAGAGGGGGAGATGTCACTTGTTTTCCTCTGGACCCAGAGTGAGGCAACCACTTCTTCTTGGTGGTACCAGCCAGCAATGAAATGCTACCCAAGTGTCCAGTAAGAAAGCTTGGCTAAACTTCAAAGTAAGTCTGAAGTAAGATTTGGCTGCAAACAGAGGGAAGTCCGTAAGGAGGCCAGAGCTCTCTAACACAGCAAAGTCCTAGGGGTGAAGCAGTACAGGAGACCCCCCCAAGCCAGCCCTGTCTGCAGGCTAGGCACTCACCGGTGTGACTCAGAAATCCAGGGCAGGATGTTGTAACAGGCAACAGAACCACAAGCACATCAGCTGCTTCTCTCAAAACCTCAAAAGGCAGCACTTAATTTGTCACAAATGATGAGCTACAGCTATTTAGCCCTGTTGACAGAACACCTGTCAGTTATGCATCGTACTTCTGGGACTTCTACAGCATCAACTCTAATCCTAAAAAGCAGTGCTGAAACTAAGGGCAATACTAACACAAACCCAATTCACTCCCCTGCAGCTTTAACAGGGACTGGGCAAGGGGTGGGGAAGGGAGCTGTGCTCCACTAACATGCTTCCCATCTCCTCCTCATCACAGCTGTCACCAGGCCATACTATGACTTTCTGATGCGTCAGAAGCATCCCACCCTGCCTACTACGCTCCCTCAGCAGCAAGTCTTCATGCTGGCAGAGCCCAAGCGCAAGCCCTCGAACTTCTGGCAGAACATCAGCAGGCTGACACCCTTCCGGAAATAAGGGCAGCCCCATGTTTGTGCCTGAACCCCTTCTGAGAAAGCACTTTACCCGTCAGTCCTGGGAAGTGGAGCCCAGGTTCTTCTAATCCTTTGTTTACAGAGGATGGCACATGTGCTCCTGCCTTCCCTATTTATTTTGCAGACCGACTGCACTGGCTCTGAGGTGAGACACTGCATGTGAGCTTGCACACACGTGTTCATCTGTGCCAGTCCCATCGAGCCAGCCTTGCACAGCGCCCGAGAGGCAAACTTCCAGGACGAGATCACAGGAGGGGGCCTGACATGCTTCATCTGAAGAAATTTTGCTTGTCAGCTGTGCTTTGACTCACTCCTTCCCGCTGAGAACACTACTGCTGTCTGGCAGCTGTCAGAGCAGGGATGGCAGCTGATACACCTGCTGGCTCCGTGTCCACTGACGTGCTCAGAACAACAGTTCAGAGTCACGGACATGATACATTTTTCCATAGAGGGATAAACCCTTCTCCTCCGCCCACCCCCACTCCCCACGTTTCTCAGAGACATGATCCTCCTACACACGTCTAACTAATTCAGTTGGCCTTTGCAGGCACTCAGACGAGACAACAGTGAGTATTGCACTGTGACCTTTTCCTTTCCTTTAGTTCGACACCACTGATGAACTATATAGTACATTAAACTGTGCCAATCGACCTGCAGCATGAGTAAAATTCAAGAATCTCTCTAGTGGGTTTGAGTTACCTAAGTTAGAGAAAAATGTGCCTACTTAATACCATACTCAATTCCTTTGATTCTTGTCTCTCCATCATTCTGCCATATTTCCTGGCCAATGAAAATGCTCATTGTTTGTAATGTGTTTATTTATGGTAAAAATCAGAACTGTGTATTTTGTAAGTCTGTAATTGTTCTTGTCAGATGTTGTTAACTTGATGCCTGTTTTGTCTATTGGGTTTTTTGTTTTTCTGCATTGTTGGTTTGTTTTTGTTTATAATAAGAAAGGTCAATAATTGCAAACCTAGCTCCCAGAAGTCAAGAGTCTACAGTTCAACTATGAAAGACTAAACCCATGATTATTATGCAAACTCCCACAGACCCTCAGTTCAAGGGGTAGTAGTACTACAGGTTTTTGACACCTTTAAAAAATGGAAAGCCACTTTAAAATGCCTAGATTTGGTATTACGAAAGAACCTCACTTTAAGTACCCAAGTTTCAAACTGTGGCCAAAAAGAATTAATTTAAACCTTGGATAGGAAAAGGAAAGATTTGCCTTACCATAGTGAGAGTTAGAAGCCATACTGACTGAATTCCCTAGCTTAGGAGACATCCTGTGACTTTGGAAGGAAGATGACTGCTCATTCCAACATGATGTTAGCGTGAGTGAGCACCGACTGTCTGCAGAGCTCAGAAATCAGTGTTTGGTGATGCTATAGCTGACCACAGTCTGGTCATCCAGGGATATCTGAATTCAGTAGCATGTACCAAGTCATTCTTGCACTATATCTTCCCCCCAGACCAGGGGCAACATTTAATTTCATAAAGAAACTTGTGAAAGTGACTCTCAGCCTGTGTTTGTCTCCAACATGTCTATCTCTGTGAACCTGTTTCTCTTCAAATCACTGTAGAGATTCTGCTCTCGGAGCTTAAAAAGTGACTGCTGATCAGTAGACACCACGCTAGAAGGTTACCCTCAGAGCTGCCATCTTTCAGATGGAAGACTGGTGAAGCAGAGACTGTACCAGAGATGTGCTGGGCACTTAGAACACTGATCAAGTTCACAAGTCACCAGCTCCCAAATTCCTGAGAGTTGCGCAAATGGAAAACATGTCTAGGAAATGTCAAAAGCACTGCATGGGCTGCTCAAGCCCACTTTGAGCAATACGGAATTAAAGAGAAACAGCAAGCACCAAGAAGTAAGAAACATACTTGAAAGAGAACCCAGCCTCTCCTCCTGGGGCCTGCGCAGCCTGCAGCCTGCTCCCCTGCCCTTCTTCCTGGGAAAAGGCACAACTCCATGCACTTCTCCTAGGCAGAACCATATGTGACATCACCATTCAATGTGGTCCTACAGAGAATGGTGACCAAAACCCAACAAAAACCCCCAAAACTTCCCTGTCATGCAGAAGCACAAGAGATGTCTACCCATGGAAGGTTTAGCCCTCCCCACCCCCATGTCACCCCCATGCAACAGAGAAATGTGGGGCTTAACCAACCTGGCAGCGGGGCCTTGAAAGGCGGTCTGACTGCCTCACAGTGCCCTGAACCAGCACAAATGATTACAGGTCTGGTCTGTCACCTTTCAAAAAATGCCTCTTTAATGGCATGCAGCAGTTGGGAAAAGAAGCCAGTGAGACAGTGCAGAAATGGCCTTCAAACAGTGCACAAACAGGTGTGGTTCATTAAAACTGGGAAGGGGAAAACAACAACAAAAAAACCCACCCCAAGACCTAAGCCCCCATTTGCACATTATGTCTCCACTGTCAGCCTTACAGGGTTTAGCATTGCCTGTCCTCACCCTCTTGTCCTTTCAACCCACACCCCTGCCCTGAGCTCTGGCTAAGCGCCCCTCATGGCACAGAGCACAAGTGGCAGCCTAAGCTTTAGCAGTCAATATGAGGATCTTTTCAAAGCTGAGTCTCTGGGTTAACTTAAAAAAAAAAAAAACCAACAAACAAACAAACAAAAAACCCCTGACTCTGTAAGGAGCCACTGAGATCAGGCTCCACTACTTACTTCTTGCCAAGTACCAAAATTAACAGTGACACCTTCCAGAGCCATGCCAGGTTACAAGTGCTCTGCATGCCCTGAGCATTACATGGTTTGGACATCTCCCCACCACCAGATCTAAATGATAACAAGCGCTGCCCGGCCACAGTACAGCCTCTGCTAAATCCCACAGGCTGCAGCCACACAGTCTGCCCTGACCCCCTGGAGGGGGAGGTCAGAAGCTCTACTGAGCTAACCCAGACATGGCAAATGGTGTTCCTCACTGCTGGGGGCTTTCCCTGCAGCCCCCTGTTCCCACAGCTACACCAATATTAACACAATGCCCTTTTGCAACAACATTCACACCCCCAAGCAGCTTAAGCCTTTGCGTACGCACGTGCACGCACCCACCCCCGGCCCTTTCAGGGGAACAACCCTAGGCTTGCTGTCTGACTTGTCTCTCAGGCACAAGCTTAAGCCCAAGAAGCGCTGCTGCACTCACGCTGAGCAAAGCAACGCTCCACTGGGACATGGCAGCATCCACACAGCTCACTCACCCTTGCTGCACTGCCACAGCCCAAACTGGGTTGGGCAGCTGCAGCCAGCACCCCTCAGTAACAGAAGGCAATTGTCACATTTGTGTTTACCCTAAGTGTCTGCGCCGTCCTTTCCTTATCCATGGTGTGTTTGTTTTGATTGGCCAGGAAGAAAACCCGTTGGCACAGAAATGATCGATTTTCTGAGCTTACCAGCTTTGTAAGTGATGGGAGGAATGCTGGATTGGACCGGTGAACCGAGGCTGGAAGGGACCTTGGGACAATTCCCCCCAACACCCCCCCCTCAAATCAAGACCAACTGTGAAGCTTCATCAGGTGGCTCATGGTCTCATCCAGTTACCATCTAAGTGTGCTCAATGTTGGAGATTTCCCCAAAACCTCTCTGCGTCCCTGTTCAATACCTCACCATCCCTATTATGAAAAAAAAGTTCTTAGATCTATTTAAAGTTTCCCTTGCTGAAACTTCTTACCTGGTTTTAATTTGTATGTTGCTTTATGCACTCGCCTTTACATCTGCATTGAAGTCAGCCCAGTACAAATCCTGACCTATTCTATAGAATGACATGGGGGTGACGGGTACAGTACCCTAACATGCAGCAGCTTTGAAGGGCAATAAAAAAACCACCCCCCCACCATCCCCCCTATAGAGAGAGAACCTTTTCATAGAAATCGTTTTAAGTGCCAAAACAGACTTCAGACTTCTCTGGCCAAACGGTATGCCAGTCAATGAAAAGTTATTTATTTCTGGTAGAGAGAAATACATTCTCTACTTGACCGCTTATTGGTACTCCTCCTAAGGAGTGTCTTCAGTTGGGATTCTAGTCTTGCAAGAAACATTTGGAGCTAGGATCCGATCCGCTATGCAAGACTGAAATCAGGTATAAAAGCTGATCACACTGAAAGAGGTAGAAACCTTGTAACGCAGTAGGTGGAGTTACAGCAGTGACATTGATAAAACAGGTAAGGATCGAATTCACTTTGCTCAACATACCTACCTGTGCACCGGCATGTCAATAGTCCACTTTTTGTAAACCTGAAGAAGATTTCATCAAGAAATGCCATCCTTTATTTTCTACCCAGCACTACTTCCTGATTCTCTAACCACAAAACCTATTATTTCCTGAACAAACTGTATATCAGATCACGTGTAACCTCCATTGGTTTTAAATGATTAGACAGCCAAAAGCCGTCTCATCTCTTAAGTTACGGATTAAATGGTAAAATGTACTTGTGTTAGTGGTAACAGACTAATCCACACTGAAATTCCCTCCTCTTCACCCTGGCATCTGCATTTTGAATGGAGTTACTCACATTGTACTGTCAATTAAAAGTATCAGGGAGTATCAGCATGTGTAAGACAGAAAGCGTTGATGTACACATTATGTAGATTCACAACATCATCATCTAAACTCGTAATAAAGGGGGTTTCTGGCATATGAACAACAAACAAACAAGTCAAGTACAGCTTCTGTCAAGCTTTCTGAGCTTAATGGGCAACACACTCTTACCAGATTCGCAAGAGTCCATTTGAAGCATGAATAAGCAGAGCGCAAGACTTCTGTATCCACTCCTCTGGAGATGAACCTTCTACATGGCCAGAAATGCACATTTTCATGCAAAACAAATTGAAGCTCCTGAGAGGAGTCTGAACAGTGCCAACCATTCCAGATTTCAGGGCAGAATCCACCTAGCTACTCATACAAACACTTCTGCATTGAGATACATGATTTGATCCAGTGGTTTGGGTTTTATTTTTTAAGGGGAT